GAAGTTCAAAGCTTTTAGTAAACACTGCATAAGAGAGAAGTGTCAGATGTTATTATCTAAGTATTTAACTAATGCTAATTACTTACGGCTCTAACATTTTTAAACTGTCATTCAGGATTTTTACTGAAAAGCGGAAAAGAGTGCTAACCACTCAGCCACTGTGCCATAGCAATAGATCAGGGATGTCAAAGTCAAATACATCAGAAGCCAAAAGACAAAGGGTTCAATGTTTATTAAAACATGATGATGCATAAAACCTGTTGAACCAAGACCTAGCGCAGTGGTATTATATTGAATGATTCTTGTACATGTTTCAACAGACTCAAGTACGAACTTCCTTCAAAGTGAAAACCTTAACTAAATAATCCAATATTTCTTATGTCTCTGTGCGGAAATCATCCTGGGGCCAAGATCATTTATTCTTGGGCCGGATCTGGCCTCCGGGCCTTGTCTTTCACGCCCCTGCAGTAGAGGCTATGGAGCTGCTCTGCTCTGGGCTTAGTTCCAGTGAACATTGACTGATCTGTGAATGATTTTCTAAACATATAAATGGCACTTAGTTTTCGAACAAATCAAACTCTCTTCTGTTTTTCACATAAACAAAGATACATGACCGTGGAGTGCAGCGCTTAATTAAACATTACCGCTCATTTATGGAACAGAGACATATTTATTACTCCTTCTTCGTAACCTCAGATTTCACTTCATTCATAAGTCTGTGGCTCAGGTCCTGAATGACACTGTCCAGAGTCTCTGATTACAAACGCAGGACGTCCTGCACCAGCCTGGACCCAGATGCACAGGCCGCCAAACCCAAACATGAGCCGCCATCTTTTCCCCCAAACTTGGCACATTTATGCACATAAATCATTTCCTACGCTGTGTTTTGGGGGATTTATAGCAATAATAGGCCATCTCTGCCATTCCCATCCTGCTCTCTCGGTGCGGTCCCTGGGAAAAAACTTCACAGGTCTTAACTTTTGGTCACATCAGGTTTTCAATTCCAACTCTACCTTTGCATAACCTCTCAGCCTCAGAGCAGATCATGTGTTTCCAAGGAGCTACCTGCCCAATCTAATCTGACGGAGCTTTGAAACAGCAGCAGGCCGGTGCATAACAATGTTTTGGAATCTGTCCACATAACCTCCTTCTTCTGTTTGATGGTGTTGGTTTTATAGGCAGGGCTCGCTGGTTCAACACGAAGAGCGCTTGTACAATAATACGGCCACTGTCACATTTAATCCAAGTCTCAAATGTCATTTTCAACTGTTCAGACCTAAGGTGGGAAAATGGCAGGAAAGGGCATCACTAATACTGAATGAAAATACTAAATGTGTGATTTTGGCTTTTTCGGCTGTTTACTATCAATCATTATTCACACTCTTTGGACTGAGTGGATAGAACTTTCTTGTCTCAGCAAGAAGGTTCAAATCCCGTCAGAACAGGGCCTTTCTGAGTGGATTTTGCATGTGCTTCCCATGTCTGCATAGGTTTCCTCCAGGTGCTCCAGTTTCCCTTATCAAAAAAAATAAACCATGCACAATAGGTATGAGTTAGTCTGGGTCTTACCATGTGTAAACTCTGGTCCATGATCATTTCCTACATTTACGTCTGGGTCTTACCATGTGTAAATTCTGGTCCATGATCATTTCCTACATGTACGTCTGGGTCTGATCCTAGTGGCTGAAGTTTCCTCGGTTGAATCCCCTCCAACCAATCAGAGAGCGGGGGAGGCAGGTGTTGTAGGTTGGTGTCGATGACGTCAAGAGTTTGTGCTGAATTTGCTGGTTGTAGTTTTTCTGAGAATTGCGATAGTAAAATAATCTGTTTTGGTTCAATCCAAATATCAAGAAACTGAAGCCAGAGCAAGAGGAATGTTTAGTAAATGTCATTGAGGCAAAGATGTTGTGGCTAAAGCTAGGCTAAATGCTAAAGCTAGGCTATTTTATTGACTGGTTGAACTACATGGAGTTTTTTGTGTACTTATCTTTATTTATTTTTTTGTGCAGCACTTTGGAACTGTTCTGTTGTTTAAATGTGCTATAGAAATAAAGTATGGTATGGTATGGTATGGTTTTGGTATGGTATGGTTTTTATTTTTACAGGGACAGTGTACAGTAAACATTAGCCAAAAGGAGAGATGCCCTGTACCAGGTTGTAGCAGCAGTGCTAATTTACACCTGGATTGGTGGATTGGATTGGATTGGAAATTCTAAATGCCTTACTCACTCGCGCTCAATAAATACGTCACAGTAAACTCAGATCCAATGGTTTCAATCTGCAAAAGGAGTTAACCCCTCCCACCTGTTAACGGAGTCAATGGAGCAAATCCAGACCTTAGTACGTGGGTATGATGGTGTGGTAAGGCCAGGCTAAGGTATGAATGTACAGACTGAGTGAATGGATGGTTTTGGTTGGACGCCAGTGTGGATAGAAAGAAACAATATCTGAGCATCGAACATTGTAAAACGCTTTGGGTGAGACCTTTTCTACTCCTTAATCCATGTTTTTATGTTTTCTTTATTTATTTATTTAAAAGGGGGGGGGCTACCTTGTTTTATTTATTTATTTATTTTATTTATTGATTTATTTGATAGGGACAAGTGTACACAATCAACATGTGAAACACTACAACATTTATAGCCAAGGCTAGTTTGCAATGTCCGTCCCTAGGAGGGCTTTTAACACAATTAAAACACATTATACATTATAAAATTCACATTATACAAAAGCAGATAGATGTTCTCCAACTCATTGATGCTCACACACCTGGTTTGTTTTAAAAAAATCGCTTTAGTTCATGTTTAAAACCAGCCCAGTTAGAGTTCAGTTTTAGCTGAGGGCTTAAAGAGTTCCAGAGCTTTGCCCCCTGGACCGAGAAGACCGACTTGTGTGTGTTTATTATTTCCTTAATCCATTTCTGGGTCGGGGGTGTTAGTCAGAGCTGCGCCCACATAGCACCAGCCCCTCACTGATCCTCCTGCAGGTGCTGAGTCCAAGAGGGCCTTGATCTTTCAGTGGGGGCTTCAGGCAAAGTGGGGTTAAGTGTCTTGCCCAAGGACACAATGACAACAGACATCAGTGGGAGTCATGAAGTAGGTTTTGCGGTGGGCTCGAACCCACGACCTTCAGGTCCACCCAATAAAAATGCGCGATATAAATTAAGATGACTTACTTAAACCCACAAAATACATTTACTGTATCTAGTCCAATCTAATTAATACATATAACACATTTTAGTTGTTTCGTGAGTGCTGCACTATACAAGACTTAAACATAATTCAAAAACAAATCCATGGTAAGAGTGTCAAATCATAAAAATCCATAAAAATCCAACATTTATAAATTCAGTAAAACTAAACACAATAAAGCAAAAGAACCATAGAAGTCCCGTATTGTTAAAAGCCAAAAACCCCTCCACAGAAGTTAGAATGTATTGTATTTGTAAAACTCATGCTCTCTCTGAACTTCTGGTAATGAAAACAATACATTTATGTTGTGGTCTCGGACGCATATTTAGTGCAGTGTGTTTCCTGTTACTCCAAGCAGAAAACAAGACATTTCAGTGACGCACAACTTTAGCTCATGACGGACACATTTGTTAGATTTGTTTGTTTTGTGCCATGATTTAAATTTATTTCAATAAAAGTAGACGTAGTTCAGTGGGACATGCAGGTGTTTAAATGTTTCAAAGACCAGACATTATTTAGGTTCAACATCCTTCTACAATAAAAAATAGTTAAATGAAGTTTATTGCAGCAAGAAAGAAGAAGAATTTTTAATCCTTGAAATGAAGCTTCATGTTTGTTATGTATCACGGTCGGTGCAGGGTCTCTCCCCGTATATGAAAGGTTTCCTCTTGGTGCTCCGGTTTCCCCTTACACTAAAAACATTTATCAACATTGCTGCTTACGAGGGCTCCTGTTTGAACGCTAATTCACTGCTACATTGAAACGTTGAGTTAAATCGATCTACAGTGGTTTGCAAAAGTTTGGACACTCCTATCCATTGTTATACATTTCCTTTATAATAATAATAATAACGTATTCGTTTTATTCTTTTCCGGACGCCCAAAGTCTCTTCACATCATTATTCATTCTCTCCAAACACAGTGGTGATAAACTACTACTGTAGCCACAGCTGCCCTGGGGCACACTGACAGAAGCAACCAGTCTGTGCCATCGGCCCCTCCCACCACCCCCAACCATTCACACACACACCAGACTCATTCTAATGTGGGGGAAGTGTCTTGCCTAAGGACACAACCACAGTTTGGCACTTTACAGCCACAGCCGCCCCGCTGTGGCACATGGTGTTCCCAGAGGTCTCCCATCACAGTACTAACCAGGCCCTGCCCTGCTTAGCAGCAGCGGTCTGACAGTATATGGCTGTCACCACATATATTAAATATTATGAATCATTGGTTGTTTGGATCAAAACTTTGGATGAAAACCAAGAACTTTTCCATCGACTTCACTGATGTCTGGTGTCGTGTCCTTGGGCAAGACACTTTACCCACTTTGCCCATAAGTAATAGTACGCTGCATGCCTTGATGTGTTTATGTGTATTGATCAAACTGAATTTCTCCATGTGAGATTCATAAAGTTTCTTCTTCTTCTTTTTCTTTGGCTGTTGCACAAATAAGATGATGACTGCTGCATTCACCAAAGAAGTTGGAGATATTTTGGTTTGTGCAGTGACATCACCAGGAGTGTCCCCCCGTTAGCACGAGTCAGGGATAGCAATTAGCCACAGCAATTAACCTTTAAAGGGCTCCCTCTCTGCAATGAGTGCAGCCGATGAATAATAGTCTAGTCCTAAGTATAAATCCAAAGCATTGCCGTCCAGAGACCCTCCCTCGAGACCACTGAGGGAAATGGGAAGTGCACGACAGGAGGATCCATTAGTCAGGACCAGGAAGTAGCTAACTCACGATATACATCACGCAGTTACAGAACCTCTGTCCTTGTGCTCAACGGACAAGGTCTAAGGTGTGAAAATGTGTGGCCCCGGTCCCAAAGATTACCCCGGCCCCATGGATTGCCCCGGTCCCATGGATTACACCAGTCCCATAGATTACCCCTATCCGATAGATTACCCCGCTCCCAAAGATTACCCCGGTGCCATAGATAACCCCGGTCCCATGGATTGCCCCGGTCCCATGGATTACACCAGTCCCATAGGTTACCCCGGTCCCATGGATTACCCCGGTCCAATGGATTACACCAGTCCCATAGGTTACCCCGGTCCCATGGATTACCGTGGTCCCATGGATTACCCCGGTCCCATGGATTACACCAGTCCCATAGGTTACCCCGGTCCCATGGATTACTTCGGTCCCATAGATTACCCCGGTCCCATGGATTGCCCCGGTCCCATAGATTACCCCGGTCCCATGGATTACCCCGGTCCCATGGATTACACCAGTACCGTAGATTACCCTGGTCCCATGGATTACCCCGGTCCCATGGATTACCCTGGTCCCATGGATTACACCAGTCCCATAGGTTACCCCGGTCCCATGGATTACCCCGGTCCCATGGATTACCCCGGTCCCATGGATTACACCAGTACCGTAGATTACCCTGGTCCCATGGATTACCCCTGTCCCACGGATTGCCCCGGTCCCATGGATTACACCAGTTCCATAGGTTACCCCGGTCCCATGGATTACCCCGGTCCCATGGATTACACCAGTCCCATGGATTGCCTCGGTCCCATAGATTACCCCCGTCCCATAGATTGCCCCGGTCCCATGGATTGCCCCCGGTCCCATGGATTGCCCCTGGTCCCATGGATTGCCCCGGTCCCAAAGATTACCCCGGCCCCATGGACTGCCCCAGTCCCATGGATTGCATGGATTGGAGCTAAGGGCTGCTCCCTGTTTAAACATGATGAGGGTCAGCCATTGTTAACGATGGTCTGAGACTCCCATTGACAAACCACCTGCTCCCTGTGGCTTCATTGTGACTGAGTGTGTGTTAGAGAGCATACAACTACCCTATGTGTGTGTGTCTGTGTGTGAGTGTGAGTGTGTCATAGACTGTAAATAATTTATGGCGCCTCTCTCCACCGTTCAAACTAATCTGCCACCACTTTCTCCTTCTGTGCCTTTTTCAAAATGGCTGCAGGGTAAATGTGAAAAAACACATTTGTGTCTAAGCTGCACTAGCCTCATTCATTTAACAAGTGCATTCAAAAGTCCATAGCGCGGAAACTAGACTGATACAAAAACATACACTCCCCTCAATATCAACAGCATCTGGAACAAAGAGGACCTAGAACCACTTTTGGACCAAGAACCACTTTTGGACCAAGAACCACTTTTGGACCATTCTGTAAAGACGTTTTCCGCCATACAAAAGCATTGGGTAAATTTTCTTTCCGGGTACACCCCCACCGCGGGAAGTGAGATTGCAGTATGTCAGCGCATGTGCTCATGGACCTTTTGGACCCGGGGCCCGCCTACACTGGAGTGTGTGTGTGTGTGTGTGTCGGTGTGTGTCTATGTGTGTGTGCGTAAATACATCATATATTTTTCTCTATTATTACACGTTTTACATAACTTGGCTCTTTAAACTTTGAAACTAGGTGGGGATAAACCATAACAGATTTTGACTTCACAATCTTGAAACCTTCACAAACAACTGCCTTTGTGCAAACTCAGCCAGATCCAGGATAACGCACGTACACTAATTTGATCAAAAACAACTATCAAATGCCTTAATCTCTATTGCTACATTACTGCAGCGATTACAGTTAGCATCAGAGCTGTTTGATTTCCTGCCAGTGTTTGTGAACTCAGGGCAGAGAAAGTGGGATATACAACGGGACACTCTGCTCCAGTGTGTAGGACTTTCCCTCATGAGTCTGGAACTCAGTAAAGAACTTTAAAACTCATGCAGGAGGACGGGGGTGCAAGACACCAGTTGTTTCAGTCTTGATACAATATTAAATTAGGTAAATGTATCTGCAGATATCCAGCTACAGGTCTAGTCAACCACCAAAATCTAAATGACTAAATAGATATTATACAAACATTACACATTCAATACCAGTAATGGTTTATTTAAAGTAATGTTTATTTATAGGGCGGCACGGTGGCTGAGTGGATAGCACTCTCGCCTCTCAGCAAGAAGGTCCTGGGTTCGAATCCCGGTTGGACCAGGGCCTTACTGAGTGGAGTTTGCATGTTCTCCCCGTGCCTGCGTAGGTTTCCTCCGAGTGCTCCGGTTTCCCCTACCACGCATGTGCCTCCTGTACTGGCACCCCCACTCCCAAAAATCACAATTGTAAACCGCTTTGAGACTCCGATGTACAGTGAAAAGGCGGTATATAAATAAAGGTTACTTACTTACTTACATATAGCGCATTTTTACAGATCAGGTCACCCAAAGCGCTTTACAAAGTTCAGAAATCAGATATTGTTCCATTCTCTCCACACAGTGATGAAGGAAGTGAGACCCGAACACACTAGTCCATCAAAGCCTCCGACCAAACACCATCCATTCACTCAGTCATTTACATTCAGACCTATTGCACATGTTTTTAGTGGTAGGGGAAACCGGAGCACCTGGAGGAAACCTACGCAGACACGGGGAGAACATGCAAACTCCACTCAGAAAGGTCCTGTTCCGACCGGGATTCGAACCCAGGACATAACCACTCAGCCACCCAGTAATTATTGGGACATAGACACGATTCTCATATTTTTTACTCTATACACCCCCACAATGACAAGATGTGCTTTGAACTGCAGCGTTGCACCATTAAACTACATTAAGATGTAAATTAATGGTGCAAGAAGGAGCGCGACCGCAGGGCCTTCATCCCCACTGCTGTCAGACTGTACAATAAGTCACTTTAAGTCACTAATGACCTGCACTGGGACTGAAGAACCTGCTGCTATTGCCACTTTCTATGTGCATAATTATACCAAATTTTTAACTTTAACATGTTTCACACTTCTGTCTTTTGCACAATCTAACCGATTCTATCTGTGCTGTTGTAGAATTACATACCCCAATGAAGGAGAAAGCTCAAAGGTATTTGTCTTAATCAGGAGCGTAAGTTTATTGTACACACGTGCGGAGAGCTCACATACACAAAGCAGCGTCCATAAGCTCTGACGCGGCCAGACCAGGTTCCTGTTTACATAGACAACACATGAAGACAGTCACGCCCACAAAAGATGGGAGGGGGTCACCAGTACAGGAGGCGCATCCAGAGGCGAGGCGCCTAGTCCGGGGGGAGGCAATCAGACCGTGCCATAGAGATGCAAACAGAGAGACAATGGACATGCAGGATGTAGAGATGCAGACATACAGATGCAAGATGCAAAAGGGACAAGGGTGAGACAGTCATTGTCTGTAGGTGCGGGGGGAAGCCCGGCTCCTTCCTGCAGGTTTAATTGAATAGAGCAGCAGGGGGGGTGAGTTGGCGTCCCCGAGTCTAGGCCGCTTGCCATCACACTCCTCTCTCGTGATAATGTAGAAACCCCAGTTTTACAGAGATCACATTCAGGTGGGTGAGTATTGACCTTGGTCCCTGAGCAAAACAAGTGGAAAAATAAAAACAAGGTAAACAAGAAAGAAAAACGTTAGACAAAGTCATCGTCCGAATCGCTGATATAATCAGGATCGGAGTTCAGTGGGACAGTGGCCAGGTCCGCCTCGGGGTCTTTGTATTGAATGGACACAAAGTGAGTGGATACCATTTTACCAACGGCCCGAAACACCATAGGTAATACACATGAAAATAAAATCATAACAGTCAATAGGGCTAAACCAAGATTAATGAGCACACTCCGCCAGGAGGACAGGAGCCAGTCCAGACCGTGAGGAGTGTCCGTGACATTGTCCGCTTGCATGGCGTCCCGGAGTCTAGTCAGATTGGCTATGCCCTGTTGGATAAGACCTCCGTCCTCATCATTAGCCGGAATATATGAAGACAATACTAACATAATAAACACGGTCAGCACGGAAAGTACTGTCAGCGTGGCCAGCATAATAGTCCAAGGGCCCATGCCGGTCTTAGCCGGACTACATTCGGTAGTCTTTTTCGCGGGAATGCTCACGAGTAGTGCCGTCTTGCAGTCAGTGGCACTGCTCCCTCTGAGCGTGTGTGGAGCGTTAGTGGTCATGGCGATGTTTGGTCTTGGAGCGGCAAGACTCTAATCGCGTTGAAGCCTTGGCCTCAGCACTCGGTTGGGCAGAGTGCTCGGGGTTTGGGGTGTGGCCTTGGGGTCCGGGGGGTGGGGAGTTGGGAAACGGGGGGTCGCCTCGGGATTCGGAGGCAGGGGAGTTGGGGCGTTGTGTTCTTCCGGGGGTTGCGCCTCGGGAACGCTGGGATTCTCTGGGTGTTGTTGTTGGCCTGCTTCACCGACGGTGGTCGCACGCCGGCCGACCTCTTCAGCGTAGGGAGCCGCGGATGGGCCTGGTCCGTCCCCACCCTCGGTGTCCTCGTCTATGGCCCTCAGTGGCAGCACCGCACGACAGTGGTAACGGCAGTGTCCGTCACCAGGAGGACGAGGAATGGGCCCAGCCAGCGCTTGGACCACCAATGTTGTCGTCTCGTTTCCTTCACCAGGACCCAGTCGCCTGGCTTGATCTTGTGCGGAGCCGCCTGCGCAGCCTGTGGCAGGGTGCTCCTGACCTGGGCAGAAATAGAGGGCAAAAGTGCATTAATTTCCTTACAATAGGGACAGCATGTCGTCATCACACAAAGAGGTGCTTGGCAGATCTCTGTTCGGGGGTCCCGCGCCCAAGTTGGGCGGTCTGGCAAAGAGGATTTCGAATGGGCTTAGGTTTGACCTTGACCTGACTCTCATGCGCATGTACATGAGGGCTAGCGGCAGAGCTTTGATCCAAGACAGGTCTGTCTGTTCGCAGATTTTAAGAAGTTTGTTTTTCAGAGTGCCATTCTCTCGCTCGCACGCGCCTCCGCTCCAGGGGGCGTAACTGCAGTGTTTACGTATATCAATGCCCAGAAATTCACCTACTTCCTCAATGACTTTTGCTACAAAGTGACTGCCATTGTCACTAGAGATTTTTTCTCGGGGCACCCCATCGTGGACTTCAGTCCATTTGGGCCAGAGATCCACCAGACAGTATTTCTTACCTTGGCATGGTGTGAGTTCAACAAAGTCCCTTTGGACATGTTGAAATGGGCGCAGGGGCGGAGGATGAGCAGCCTGTTGGATAATTTGGGACTTACCTGGGTTGTGCGCGAGGCAGATAGCGCATGTTTGGCAGAATCTCTGTGCAAATGCCGTAAACCCCTTTGTATACCAATTTTGTGTGATTAAATCACACATCCCTCCTTTTGAGGCATGGTCTCGGCCATGTGCTAAAATTGCAAAATGTCTGAAGAAATGCCGTGGTAAGCACGGTTTTAGGTCTGGTCCCAGCCACACACCATGCCGTCGTTGAGCCCCATTTCCCTCCCACGGCACAGTCTCTGCTGGAGTAGCCGGTGCCTGCATTGCTGACAGAGAGGAGAAAATATCAACGTCTTGAGTGAGGTAGTGTGTGTGTGTGGGTAGAGGTGAGTATGCCGCTGCCTTGTCCGCGCGCCAATTCCCTGCAGAGATGGGGTCAGTGGCATTAGTGTGGGCCTGGCATTTGCATACAGCGATCTCTAAGGGCAACATTACAGCTTTCAGCAGATGTTCAACCTGTGTGGAATTAAGAATTAAATTGCGGTGTTTCCACAGTGCCCCCCAGTCGTGCACCACAGAGAAACCATAACGCTTATCACAGAATATGTTAACAGTTTTGCCCGCTGCCAGCTCACAAGCCCTGGTGGGCGCGACCAGTTCAGCGGTTTGTGCTGAATGGTGGTGGGGGCAAACTACCAGAGTCTATAGTATCAAAATCAGAGCACACAGCATAGCCGATTCGGTTCTTCCCAGTGTTGTCACGTGAC